GAAGACACGCACGGAGCTGAAGATGCGGAACAAGAGCATAGTCCACATGCTGGTGAAGGCGCTCGACCGGGACAATTTCGAGCTGCTGATTCTGGTTGTGTCTTTCTTGAAGAAACTCAGCATTTTTATGGAGAACAAAAATGACATGGTAACTTAACATGTTTGCTATTTTTAAGTTAGAATATTGTGATAAAAAGTAAACGCGTTATCCATCCCCCCACTCTGATGATGCCGAAGGAAAATTTTATAATAGCAGTAACTCCTTTAAATGGCTTCATTAGGAAATATAACATTCCTTATTAGTACTCCAGTTAATTGAAGCTTTATGGATAAAAACCTTTTCCTAATATTGTATAGAAAATGTCTTTTCATATTAAATGTAATATGTAGAAAATAATGCAAGCTCAAGATTGTGCTTTAGAATCATCTGGCTCTATTATTTTCCCGTATTGGTTTCTCCTGCTTTTCTGGCGTTATTAGTATGTGGAATTACAGTTCAGCCCAGTCTCTTCTCTCTCACTCCCCATTCCCGTTAGCAGCCACGGCTGTTGCTTCTGCCTCTTCAGGACCCTTCTTCCTCTTCCCGTTGTCAGTGTATTCGTTTGTGCCTTTTTGTTTGTACCCTCTTCACTTCTTGTTTGAATTGCTACAGTCGGCTGTTTGCCATCTTACATTGTGTTGATGCAGTGGTCTTTGAGACATGCAAGTTGATCGTGTATTTCCTTTTCTGAAAAATATACATAATATAAAAATACATAAAGAAAGAATAAAAATTACCTATTTAGATTTCGTGAATTACCTTCTGATTTTACAGATGAAGTAGCAGAGGATCGGAAAGGTTAAGTAATTTGCTCAAAGAAATATATTCAGGTATTCCTACTCTTTCTCTCCACTTCCAGGGCAGAAAGAATGACTTAAAGGCTGAAATAAATTTACTGATAGATTTTTGATACACTGTCACTTTATATAGAACATTTAATAAAAGCATTAACTATAAATTCTATTTTATAGATAGAGAATTGAGAGAGCGTTGCATGTCAAGACAATTACTGAATTTATCTTTTGGGATTGGTCTTTTATCAACTGGAAAGAAATGATTAGAAGGCTGTGTCTAGTCTTTATCTGATTGGACTTCACGCGTTTTTACGTTCCATTATCTGCGCTGGAAATACAAATTAATTAAAAAAAAAATCTCTCCAGGTCATTTTATTATTAAGTTTTCTGTAACACCACTTTATACTGTAGCTTTTTCAAAAGTGAAATATTACTTAATATAATTAGTAACAGATGAAGCCTGTGGCGATTTTATTTAAAAGGAGTGGTGGGGAGGGATGGCTGATCTATTTGTGAGGTTGTATTATTTATTTAAATAATGTGTTCATGTTACTGTTGATGTGAACTAATACTGACCTTGCTTTTTAGAGTTGTTTATTTTAAAGGAAATTTAGTTTAAAAAAATCTTTAATTAATGATTTAAATTGAGTTTCCATATTAATACAACATAATAAAAAGGGAATAAGTCATATCATTAGAATATGATTTTAAGGATATGTATGCCTTGGGTTGCTTATTTTCTTATTAAATTTTGAGAGTTTTTTTTTATTTTGAATGTCTTTTACTAGTTATGTTTTCCAAATATTTTCTCATTTTATGTGGCTTGTCTTTTCATTCTCCTATGAAGAGTAGAAGGTTTTAATTGTCAAGAAAGAAGTCTGCTATATCAAATAATTTTTTTAATGGAAAGTATTCTGGTGTTGTATCTAATAAGCCATTGCCTAACTTAGGTCACAAAGATTTCTTCCTGTTTTCTTCAAGAAGTTTTATGGGGTTTGTGTTGTTACTGTTTTTGTTTTAGTCTGTGCTCCATCCATTTTTTTAGTTAATTTTATATATGTTGCAATGTATGGATCAAGATTCATGTTTTGATATGGATGTCTAATTGTTTTAGTACTATTAGTTGAAAGTACTATTTCTTTCTCCCCTGAAATGCCTTTACACCATATTGAAATTACCCTTGTACCTTTGTTGACAATCAGTTGGCTGTGTATGTGTGGTTCTATTTTTGCATTTTTCTCTTTTCTGTTCCATTGATCCATGTGCCTGTGCTTTTACTGATACATCTTCATTTTGCTTACTTTAGCTTTAATAGTAAGTTTTGAAATCATATAGTATAAAGCCTCAAATATTATTCTTTTTCAAAATTATTCTGGCTGTTTCAGATTCTTTACTTTTCCATTCCCATTTAGAATCAGCCAGTCTATTTCTTTAAAAAAGAAATCCTGGAAACTCGATTGGGATTGCTTTGAATCTATTGACAGTATTCAATATATAAAACATATTGGATTTTCCAATCCAAGAACATGGTATAGCTCTTCATTTATTTAGGTCTTTCTTGGTTTCTTCCATCATTTTGTAGTTTTTAACATACATATTTTGTACATATTTTGTTAGATTTATACCTAAATGTTTTACCATTATAAATTGTGATTTTTAAGGAAGAAATTATCAGTTTCCCATTGTTGATGATTTTTATTGAAGTATAATTAATATATAATATCCTATTCAAGTATTCATCACAGAAATTCGATATTTATAGACATTACAAAATGATCACCACAATAAGTCTACATCAGTCGTGGTTAGTGGTATATAGAAATACAGTTGATTTTTGTATATTTACCTTGTGCCCTGAGACCTTGCTAAATTCACTTTTTAGTTGTATTGGCTCTTTGTAGATTGTTGGGGATTTTCTAAGTAGAGATATGTCATGTGTAAATAGAAAGTTGTATTTCTTCCAGTCTAATTTTCATGGCTTTTTCCCCCTATTATACTGGAGAGGGATTCTTTCATATGATGTTAAAAAGGAATTCTCTGAGTGGACTTTCCTGCCTCATTACTGATCATAAGAAGAAAGCAATGCCTTTTCCTATTAAGTATAATGTTATCTAGGTTTGTTTGTAGATACTCTATCAGTTTAAGTTTTGTTCTGTTTCTAGTTTGCTGAGACTCTTTATTGTGCATGAATGTTGGATTTTGTCAAGTACCTTTTCTGCCTTGATTGAGATGATTACATGGTTTTTCTTCTTCAGACTGCTGGTAGAGGGACTCGCACTGGTTGACGTGACCATGCTGAGCCAGTCACATTCAGGAAACAAACACCACTTGGTCATAATATATTGCTTTTTTTATATATTGCTATATTTGATTAGATAAAATATTGTTGAGGATTTTTGTACCTATGTTTATGAGGGGATTACTAGTTTATAGTTTTCTTATTATGTCTTGGTCTGGTTTTGCTATTAGAGTAACTGTGGCCTCATAGAGTGAGTTAGGAAGCATTTTCTCTTCAGTTTTTCTGGATATGTGTAGAACTGGTGTTATTTCTACTTAAATATTTAATAGAATTCACCAGTGAAGAAGCCATCTGGGCCTGGAGTTGTCTTTCTTTGAATTTTATAATTTTCTAGAATCGAGGGTCCACAGACTCTCTCTGTGCCTGGCCGGAGAGTCAGTGCCTTATGCCTCGCAGCTCACGCGGTCCCTGTCACAGCTGCTCGGCTCTGCTGTTGTAGCATGATCGCAGCCAGGGAGAGTCCACGGCAAACGGGCACGGCCGTCTTCCAGTGAAACTCGATGGAAACTGAAATTTGAATTTCAGATGATTTTCATGTGTCGTGAAAGATTCTGTATTTAAATTTTGTCAATAATTTAAAAAAATAATAGTCAAAAACCATTTTTAGCTCTCGGGTTTTATGAAGTCAGATGTCAGGCCAGATTAGACCCACTAGCCATAGTTTTCTGACCCTTGTCCTAGAGTTTTAACTGTTACTCATAGTTCAGCTCTCTTCTGAGTTTTATAATATTTACTGAAATCCACTGAATTTCACCTCAAATTAAACATGACAAAAATTAAGATAATTTTTGCCCTTCCTGTCATACACCTGTTTTTCAATTTACAGATCTTAGGTAATGGCACCTACACCCACCTTACTGACTGTAGAAAAGGGGCCTGACTCTGCTGTCCTTAGACAGACCTCCTCACAGGGTCGGCCCTTGCCTGGTGTCTGGGAGCTTGGACTTCTGGAGAGTTTCCTCTGTCCCCTAAGTGATGAGAGCAGTTCACTGCACCTGCACTGTTTGCACGAGCAGCGTGCTCTCTGCTGCACACCTGCTTCCCTTCCAGGAGTCTGGCCGTCTAGTTTGTGCTGGGCAGAGCGGCCGATGTGCCTGCCCCAGTAACAACCTGGGGCTGCGAGTCTTAGTCTCCGCTCAACACTGGAGCACGTCCTGGCTGATTCTGCTTCGCACCTTTCATCATAATAAGCCATAGTCATGAATATGAATTTACACTGAGTCTGTGAATCCTAGCAAATCGCTGAACCTGGGGTGGACTTCGGGACCCTCGACACAGTGACCAAGCCCCAAACCTGAAGGTCATCTTCAGTGCTTCCTCTTCATTTCTCATTCAAATGTGTGAGCCGTGTCTCCTAAACACCTCTCAAATTATTCTTTCCTCTTCAATCTTTTTGTTCTTTTTTAAGTCAGACCCTAATCAAATGCAGTATATTCTTCAGTGCTTGTCTTCAATCTCTACCTATACTGTGCCCCTTATTCATTTTTTTGTGTCTTTCTTTGTGTGTGGATGTACATATATTTGTATATATGTATATACATTTATCTTTATGCTGCTGATCTGATGAAATTACCCTCTGAACCTAAAATCATTCCAGGCACTCTGCTGCCTTTAGACTATGTTAAAGGTCTTAGAAGAGCATGAAAAGCTTTTCGTGATCTGCCCAATGTCTGTTTTTATGAGTTCCTGCCGCTCCTCAGCATTTACTTCATACTGTGGCCATACCAAAGCACCACCCAAACAAGCTCTCTCATGCCTGAATGCCTAGCCACTGGCTTTATCTTCTGCTTAGGTCGCCATTGCCTTTCTTAACCAGAGAGTAAATTATTACACATTTTTAAGAGCTTTGTTTTTATTTTGAAGTCTTTTCTGTTCTAGGTAGCTTCACGTTTCCTTCCAGCGTTGCTTCTGGGGCACTTTGCGCATTCCATTTTTATCACACTGTATTTTAATTATTTGTTCCATTAGTCTGCTCTCTTTTTAGACTGTGAAATTCTCAAAGGCCAAGACAGGATCTTGTTTGCTCTAACATAGGGCCTGGCACTTAGTAGGTGGTGGACAATGATGTGTTTTCAAGAACCCAATGTAATTTGTCTTCTAGTTGATGCTATTAAGTGAAGCAAGGAAGAGATGGTGTGGAATATATATTTTCAAAATTTTGATTTCAGAGTAGTTTATAGATTAAAATGAGAGTATATAGATTTAACACAGTTACTATATATATGTGTGTGTATATGGGTAAAAACAGTAAAAATATAACTTTCTGTAATCTTTTTTGTTTTATTGTGCAACAGAACCTCACTGCATTTGTATTATTATTTGACATAGGTGGAAATGGATATCGTTGAAAAACTGGTAAAAATGATACCTTGTGAGCATGAAGATCTCCTGAATATCACCCTCCGACTCTTGCTAAACCTCTCCTTTGACACAGGGCTGAGGAATAAGATGGTGCAAGTCGGACTGCTTCCCAAACTCACCGCACTCCTAGGTATGCTTTTGAAAAACTGATGCTAGTTTACTTGAAATGTCCAGCATCATTGGAAAAGTGAGCTCTGTGTTGAAAAGTCAGCTAACAAAAATTAATCTGTGTATGTTCTTTGATTGGGAACTTAAAAATTAACAGAATGAATGAAAAGTGACATGTACCAGGATTCCCGTGGTGCTGTCGAATGCAGCAGAGTGGAAGCTGTTCTCTCTGATCTCATTTGCCCCTGCGAAGGGGAAACCAGAGTGCCGCGGTGAGAGGGCTGCGGGGGGAGCGAGAGGGGCCACCTTCTCTTCAGTGTTTTTAAAAGCAGAGATATTTAAGTTCTCCTATTCTGCCACGCTTTTGATGTACTACTGACAACTACACAAATTTGGGGAGCCTTTTTGTCATTAAGTAAATAAAGGGTATTTTTGTATAGCATGAGTTAGAAAATACTGTATTAGAGGATTCAGTTTATAATACGTTATTTTCTTTTAGCTGTTAACAAGGTACCTATATAGCAAGGGTGGATTCAATGTTAAGTCCTCTGTGCTCTTACGTAATGCTTCTTAGCAGAGTATCAGACCCCCTTTATGATCCGTTCATTGTCTGTCTTTACAGGTACCTGCTCCTCCCCAACATACACTTCATGCTGTGTCCGTACTGAACCCCTTACAGTTCCCTAAACAAGCTCATTTATGCCTGCGTGCCAGTCCAGCTGCTCTTTCAAAAAATTTTATTAACCAGAAAGCAAATTCTTAACTCATCTTTAAAGACTCTGTTCCTTTATTTGCAGTACTGCAATTTCATTCTCATTTAATTGCTTTCTCCATATAGTCAATATTTTGTAACAGTCACTGACAGTAGTGGGGTAGTAGTTGAATGATTTAAAGTTTATTCTTTGCCATCTAATATCTATGGATCCAATCTGTCATTGACATCATCATTATTTTCTTTGTAATACTAGTCACATTTATTATTTAGTGCACTAGTCATTTTGCTGTGTGCTTTAATTACATTATCTCGTGGACTCCCCATCCGACATCTTTACTCAGGATTACATGGCTGATAAAAGGCAGAGCTCAAATGCAAGTCTATCTGCTGCCAAAACTGGATTTATTGATCTCTATAGTGAACCGAACATGTATAGTTATATTAAGTAGATTATGATTAAGTAGACTGGGCAGAGCTATAATTTAAAAATTCAGTTCTCAAGTCCCCTTAACAAGTAAGTTTTAACTTATTCTTCTCTCAGAATAGGAAAACCTTTAGTCTTTTGGTCAGTCCAAGAACGTTTGACTAATTGCCCAGTCAACAAATATTGCACAGGACTTATAGTATACCTTTTATGAGAAACTTGACTGAGGAGTACTTTCAAAAATTGCTTTTGGGGAACCAAAGCAATACAGACACTTAGCGAGGAAACAGAAAAACTTTAAAAGTAAAATTGATGGATCTTGAATATAAATCAGGTGACCCTTCATTTGTCGTAAATCTAGCAGAATTATGTATCAAATATTAGATCAGATTCTCAGGGTATGAAGATGAATAAGATATCGTCCTTGTCCGGAAGGAATTCATAGTCCATTTGGTTTGTTCAGTATCCATTCACCTACTTTTATGAAATATGATTTAAGAGATTTTTGGGAAATTACAGCATACCCATTTCACATTTTGCTAACAAATAGAATTCGAGGATATAAGATATAATATTCAATACATAAAATACTTTATCTCTAGAGCTCAATTTCTAGAGTCAGATCGTCTTATTAGAATTGCGACTGTTTACTTTTAACTAACCATGTCACTTTGGGACTGTTATCCAAACTCTGATTCAATTTCCTCATCTCTAAAATGGAGATAATAATCGTAACCAACTTACGGTTTTTTTGGAGGATTAAACGAGGTATTGCATGCAAAGTGCTTAAACAGTACCTGACATACTGTATTTTCTTAATAAATGTTATCTATTATCATTTTTCTTATCAACATTATCATCATCATTACCTGATGTCAAATGGACATTCTGAAGTGTTGCTGACTTATCTTTCTCTGAGTACTAATATCCTTCTCATAGATACTAGAATTTCGTTGACAAACTAGGTAGCTTATATTTTTATTTCCCTGTGATGCATATGCAGTTTAATTCAACTTAATTCAGTAAAATGTTGATAACCTATGGCAAAGCACAGCGCTAAGCACTGTAGAAAAATATTTTTCAATCCATAGATATATAGGAATTCCAAAGAGAATGTTCCCATTTCGGTACTTCATAGACAAAATGCCATTTGAGATGGCCATCAACATATTTGTCATTTTAACGAGGTGGTATTTACAAGAGAAGAAGAATAGAGGCTGTAGAGAGTATTTCAGATAAAGTGACCAACATCACCTAAGGCATAGATGGCACTAAGTCAGCATGAGGGACAATAACTAAGAAAGTAGTAGGAAATAAGTTTGAAAAAATGAGTTCATGCTCTTATGTGGAATTACGAAGTTTAAAGCTATGCTAAGAAGTTGATAGAGTTGATGGTGGTACTCACTGCAGGGTTTTAAGCTGGTCAGTTAGTGTGTACTTGCTGTTGGATGGACTAGAGCTAGAGTCTAAGGATGAGCAGCAAGACAAGAGGTAAAGAAACCTCAATTAGGGAAGTAGAATGTCAGGTATGAGGCAGAGGAAAGGGCAAAAGAGACATAGGACAGATAAACTTAATATGACATTGTTACTCTGGATATGGGTAGTGATGGAGGAAGAATTCATAAAACTCAGTGACTGTTAGATCGCTCGTGCCAGGAACAGAAGCTGAGAAGTGTGAAGGAAGTAGAGGGCGTCAATGATGGGTTTAGTTTGAAACATGTTGGCAGCATCTTAGACAAAGATGTTCAGTGAGCAGACGGAGACGGGGCACCCAGAGCTCAAGAGAGAGAAGGGTTAAGAAAGAAAAACTTGCTCAATAGATGAATAAAAATGGACAGAAGAAACTACTAAAGGAGATATAACAGTCAGAGAAATATGCTTATTTTTCAACAAATGTATAAAAATACAGCAAGTATAGGCTGTTACTGAGAAGCAGTGATGGTCTTGGAATCTTCATGCAGGAGAGAAATGAGGAAGCTTTGAAAGAGCAACTGAAAACTTTTTTTTACCTCCTTTGAGTCGTTCTTTCAAAATGTTGCTTCATTCTTTGAAATATTCTTAATTCCTATGGCATCAAATTTTAAAAGCTGGTATTATTCTAACTTGACATTATACAAGTAGACATGGATGATCTTAAAAGTTTCCACCTCTATTGTTGGCTGATCTGTAAAAACTGAAGGCAAAATGATTCTGTTGAGACGTTTATGGTCAGCTTGCCTTAGTGACTTCTTGGCTTGTCTTTCTATGGTGAATAAAGTAAATGATGGCAAAGTAACATTCCTAAAAAATATACATAAAATATTTTTTGGAGAATAAATTGGAAAAAATACAAAAAGCTGTTGTGATTTGAATAATTATTAAAAGCAAAGAGGAAGTTGGTTGGTTACAACTTAGCTTTTTTGCTGTTAGGAACCAATATTCATTTATAAACTTATGACAACTTTAGATCTATCTGAGGACTAATAAGCAGGCTCTAAAATCTTTCCTTTTCAGCTAAAGATTCAGTATGTCATACTCTTCCCCCACCCTTTTGTTGCTCACAAGTCATTTGTATTTTAACTTAAGCAGTTTCTTTTTTTCAAATGTTCACATATATATTTTACTTAATAACTCTCTTTAGTTCTTCCTTTTCATTCCACTTACAGCCCATGCAAGGAGTAGCAATCATACACAGCAAACAAAAGAGAATATCTACTGATATTCCAGGGTTAAGGAAAGGGGGGAAATGTACACGCGAAGAGAAGTTAGTGTGTACTAGAGAACAGTGCCTTCAGCTCTGTAAAGTACTTCAAAATGTCTACAAGTTTACATTTATTTATTTCACATTCTTTTAATTTAATTATTTTAGTGGTACTACTATTTTCTACTTTTTCATTTAAATTATGGATTTTAATAAGCTTCTGTAGGCCCTTTATAAGGTGAGCCTATGGAAAAAAAAAACATGTTCTCAATTCCAAGTAACTGATTCAATATGAACTTTTGGAACATAACCATTTTGTAAAACTTTATTTTATCACGTCTCAAAATGGCCCATTTATCCATCACTTCCCAGGAAAAACCTGTCTAATAAATGTATTAGTCAGGAGGACAAGGCTATGATTATTAATAAACGATCTCAGTAGCTTCAGATACAGCAAAGCCTTATTCTTGCTCATACTATATGCTCATTACGGGTGAGCAGAAAGTGCTGATTCACGTTAACATCAGTCAAGGACGCAGACTGATGGAGCAAGAAAATGGAGAATTGCAAACTTAAAGGCTTCCACTCTGAGGTGACACGTATTTTCATATACATTTCTATTGATAAAAGCAAGTCACGTGGCCATGCTGAACTTTAAGGGGGCGGGCAGATGCTCAGAATGATTAGAACTGGAACGCTAGAGAGCGAGCAGCTTAATGATCTTGAAAGGCGTTTTTCAGATTTTCTGAATTTTAGTTGGGTTTCTGGGATTGACTAAAATCTCTTAAAAAGTACATTCTGAGACATCACAGCAAATACTACTGTATGTAGTATATCTAGCAAATGTAGTAACACAGAGCACATTGATTAAAAGAATTATGGAGCCAGACTATATGACTTTGAATATTACTTCATTAGTTACTAGCTGTGTGATATTATACGAATACTTAACCCATATGTCAGATTTCTCATCGTTGGTGTATAGGTAATAATTGTACATATTAATAGGGAAGAATTAAATGAGATAATGCAGTAATGTTAGGAGATTATACATATGTGAAATTATTATACAACTACATAGAATACAAACAGTAGATATCCAGAAATGGGTCTTTTTGATAAGTTTTCCAGGCTTATACCATTAAGGGTATTTAATCATTTTATATGAAGGTCTTTTAAAAATTGATTACATCTTTCTTTTCT